GTGTGTGTGTGTGTGTGTGTGTGTGTGTGTGTGTGTGTGTGTGTGTGTGTGTATATATATATATAAAGCAAGTATTTTTTAAAGATTGAAAAATACTTAAAAAAGGCCTAAGGCCTTTAAAAACTAAAACGTGGTCGATCTTGGGACACTGTCCTATGTCATTGGAGTACCAGAAGTTAAAAGCTGTCGAAAATAATGCCGTAGCTGGATGTAATTGTAGCGAAAAAAAGTAAGATGCGGCGATCATTCACTTGTAAGAGAAAACGATTATATATAAGAATACTGTATCCAATGCAGAGCCTTGTGAGGTCTACCTCCTCCCTCCAATTTCAATGAAAACTTGATTGTCAATAAGTAATTGTAGCTTTAATCTGAAAAGACCGTTTATCCCCTAACTGGCACGAACCCTTGTCTTAAAAATATGATTGATATTGAAATATAGAATATGAAAATGTTACGTTTCCAGAAGAGGCCGATTTGTGATATCATTCTCTCACATCCCGAGATGGTCAGGAATACACAAAAACTGAAATAAAACAGATATAGATTATAATAAGATGTCGTTTCTGGACATCGAAGAGAAATGGTTGGAATTTGACATTAAGCAATTCAAGGGCCTTCAAAAACTAAGCAAGTCTATACAGATAGTGCAATTAGTGTTCTATTTAGCTGCTAAATAATCCAAGACAAGTGAAAGTGCATACAACTCGGTAGTGAGCACAGAATTTGAAGAGGGAACCCTTCAAAAATCCACAGAACTGTAGCAAATTATGACAGAGCCCACAGGATCATCTGAAAATGATAGGATGTCTCAAAAGGTGTGTTGGCTAAAGAAAAGTTGGCACTTCCAGGCAAAAATGATGGGGATGGTATGGTCGTCATAATCAGTAATGTCAGACCTATCTCAGTGAACTTTACTTAGATAGGAAGACCAAATGTTAGGATAGAAGATCATATATCTACAAATAATAGAGCTCACTCAATCTTCAAAACACACGGTCAGGTGAGTTACCATGGTCGTAAAGGGATACTGCAAAAAAAAAAAAGGTTGTAAATATCAGAGGTGAACCGGAGGTTCATAAGACTGTGTGTACAAACTCTGGGTTGAAGAAGTGTAGTAGGTCCCTAATGACAGCACAGGGCCAACATCTTCGATACAGTCTCTGTCAGGCATAGACCAAAGACCCATAATCTAGCTTCGAATGAATGAGGACATGAAAGATCTTGAGCACAGAACACATATCCACTCATCAACAGTTGGAAGAGGAAAAGTGTCTTTATACACTTCATTTTAAGTTGTTTTATTTGTGGAATGAAAATTTGCTTATTGTCAAACAGACAATAAAACCCTTTTTTCAGCCACCATAGAAATTCATGCATCTCCCAGACGAAGCTCAGGTTAAAGGTGTAATCCCCGTTGGCATCAGAAATTCATGCAAACAGTTTTAAGTTATTTGCAGCAGTCCACTCACAAAATATTCTAAGATCAAGTATCTGTAGTTCAATGTACCACATAGTTGATGACTGACAGGAAATTTAAGAGCCATTAACAAGGAAGATGTTTATTGATGGTATTGATCATAATGCTAAAAAGGAGGTAATCTGAGCTCTTGTGTAAGGGACTGGGATTGTATTGATCACCCATAAAACTGATACGACTTAATTGATACAATATTATGGATAAAAATGGGTAAATGACCATGCAACCCATATGAATGGAAGTCCGGTAATTTAATGATCCTCCAATGGTGTCATAACCTTTCTCAAGTTCAAAACAAATGTTTACAAAAAGATGCTCACTCTTGAAAAAGGCTTTCCAGAGTGACATTTCTAGTCAAATCAAGTAGTTTTAATGGATCCTTAACTACAAAAACCATACTAATTGTCGTAAATGAGGTTGCTTAGTTCTAAGAATAAAACAAGATGAGCATTAAATACCCCATCCAAAACTTTAGAAAGACACTGGTAAAAGCAACAGGTCTATAATTAATAAAAGTCTTTGGATCCTTCTTGGGCTTAGAAAGGAATAAAACAGTCCAATGTCATAAATCAGGAAACTCCTCCTTCTGCCAAGTCAAGTGAAAAAGAATCAGGGGAAGGCAGAACGAAGCAGGGGAGATAGCATAACATCTTATAATGAATGCCATCTGATCTGATATACTGCTAGACTGATGTACAGAAAGTTTCAGTTTCACCAAAGTGAATGGTCTATTTTTATCGTAAAGACAACCAGGTCAAAAAGAAGGTGGGGTAATTTTGGCCCATGCTTTGATTATATATAAAAAAACAGGGATCAAACAGAGGTGCTTGAATTATAGGAAAAGTACTCTCCAATAGTATTGGCAATACCTTGTATATCAAAAACTTCTTGGCCATTGAGTTTCAAAACTGAAAGGGGATGGGATGTAAACTTTCCATTAACCTTTAGAATCTTGTCATATAGTACTTTGGAACTAGTATTGGAAAAGATGCTTGAAGTGAATTTATCCAAAACTCGTCTTAACTTGAATGTCTAATCTACTGGACATGGTCACGAGCCTTCTGAAGGTTATGCAGTTGGTAAAAGTGGGATATCTGTAAAAACAAAAAATGTCCAGTCTTTTTTTTCACACACCTCTATGTCCTTTTACAGTCAGGTGTCTACCATGAAAGAGGATACTGTGGAAAATTCATTGAGGTTTTAGAGATGGTAAGGACAGCTATCTGGAAAATAAGATCAGTTACTGCCTCTCTCAATCATCAACACACTGTGGGTTAACAAAAGTAGAAAACCCTGAGAAAACGTTGAAGAAAGGTCATTTAGATTTCTCTAGCTTCCACCATGTTACACAAACCAGTTGGAATCGAATGCAATCAATCTCCCTGAAAATTATCTCCCAAGAAAGAGAAATAATGGAGAGATCAATGACAGTAAATGTTTGATTTGGACCATAGAAACATGTATATTATCCTGTAATGAGGAGCAAAAGGTTGTGATCCAAGATACAATACTCCACAGATCGACTCCTACCATCTCTTCACAGTGGATAGTGTCCATTTAAGTATCCCATAACAATG